TGGGGGGGTCGAGGGTAGGGGTGAAAAAATGAAATTTTGAAATTGAAAATATTTTTATACTCTCTCTATTTTAATTTATTTGACTAGTTTTAATTTTTGCACAAAGTTTAAAAAAAGTTTTTAAAAAATTGAATCTTGTTTTTTTAGAATATTCTTTAATTTTGTAGTTTTACATATTTCAAGTAGAAAAATAGATTTACTGAATTGTAAAAAATAGATATTTTTTTTAAATATACAAAAGAATAAATTAAGACAAATAAATTAAAATATATGGAGTAATATTTACAGCTTGAACTTTAGTTTTATAAAACAAAAAACTGAACAGGAGTTTATAATTCTCGCACATAATAGACATTTTCTTTGTGTCAAACATGTATTTTTCAATCACAAAATTGAAAAATGATATAACATTATTACGTTGATTCAATTATTTATCAGTGTCAAAACTATATTATTATGTTCCTATTTCATGAATATTTAATTATTTTTTATAGATTCTTGCAAAAGTTAAAAATAAAAATACAACACTACAGAAGCTATAACAATGGCCACATGCGTGTTAATATCATAATAATTCATGCATTGTTTTAGAGTTTTGAACTATTTTTCAAGCTTCAAAAGTTCATCGGACAAATTAGGAAGTAGAATAGATTGGATAATTACCTTTGCAATAAATAATATTTTATATTTTATATAAATTTATGAGTTGAATTTTTATTTTTATTTGAAAAAATAGAATCATAGATTGAAATAATCACCTTTGCAATAAATGATTTTTTTTCTTTATATTTGGCAGATTACATTTTCTTCTTTAAACTGAGCAAATAACTTGAATACCCCCCCCCCCCCCCCCCCCCCCCCCATTTTTTTTTCCTTTATATTTTTTCTCCATCATATTATTTATCTTTCTTTTTTCAAATGTTCTTTAAAAAAAATCAAAGCGTATTTTTATTAATTTATCTTTTATTTGTTTTTAATACTTATGCATTTTATTCATCAATATCAAGATTAACACTAGATGAATTTCTTTCAAAAAAATATTAATAAACCAAGGATAATTAAAAAATAAATAAATTAATCTTATCTTAATTTTATAAATGAATAAATAACTTGAAATAAATATTATAATGAGTTGGTAAGTACTCCCTCTCAGGGGGTGTTCATGATTTGGATAAAAATCGATCCAAATCGTATAACTGAACCAAACAGAATAAATAAACCGTTTTTATTTGGATTTGATTTGGTTTTAGATTTTTAAAAATCGATAGTATTTGGGTTGGTTATGACTTTGTTCGAAAAAAATCTGAAGAAATAACCCAACTGAACTGACAAATTATATAAATATATTTTATTATTATACATACATATAACATATTATTTTTATAAACAATTTGAAAAATCTTATATATGTTTTCATCAAAATTTATTTACAATTTACTTACGAAAGCAAAAATATCCAAGGTGAGAACATTTATCTTATTGGTTTCATGTCATTGTCTCTTCCTTCTAGGCCAATATAATGAATTTTGAAACTTTATTCATAGTAAATTCGATGATCGAAAGTTATATAATGACAATCATTCTAACTATTTTTTTGTTTTGAATGGATTGTTGTCACTTTTTTCACGTTTTGAATGAATTATTTCTTTTATTTTTGTCACCGAAAAACTAAACCAAACCGAACCAAAATCGATACAACCAAACTAATAAATATATATTATATTTTGTTTGGTTTGGTTTTGATAATTTTAAAACTGATTAAGTTGGTTTGATTTTTGTTTTGATCAATAATTGATCCGAACCGACCCATGAACACCCCTACTCCCTCTGTCCAACAATAGTTGTCCACTATTGACTAGGCACACTCCTTAAGAAACAATAAATAACAGGGGTAATATTACTATATTATCTTTTGACTTTATTTAATTTAGTGTTTTGAAAATGTGTTAGATGATAAATAATATTTAATAGCAAGGGTAAAATAGATACAAAAGATAAATTATCTCTTGATTTTATAAATTGAGCAAGTATTATTGGGTAATTCCTTTTAGTATAATAGACAACTATTATTGGACGGAGAGAGTAATATGAAACGGAAGTAAAAATATTCACGAACAAAAAGAGAGAAAATGATCAAAATGGTCCTTAATGTATATGTGTAGCTTTATTTTGGTCCTTAATGTATCACACATGATTGAAATGGTCCTTAATGTATTACAAAAAATGTTCACTTTAGTCTTTTACTCTAAATCTAACCAAAACTACAAAAGAATGTGTTATATTTAACGGTGGATCCCACATGCTAACAAAATATAATAATGTTATTTTCTTTGCAAGCTCCAAAAAAGAGCTCCATGATTATCATCATTTTTTCTAACAAAAAAAATATTATTTTCTCTCTCGATTTCTAAATATTGTTCTCTATTCTCATTTATGCATATTAAAACTCATGTTTATATATGATGTAGCTTTGTGGAAAATCACTTAGCTAAGCTATGGGTGTCTTATCTTATTGGAGATTTTATGATATTTTCTGTTTACTGATTCGACCGTAAAATTTAATTTTATCAATATATTTTTTGTGATTAAAAATTATTCCGTCATTTTGATTCACCGAAGTAAGAAATCACATTATCATTAACAATTAAGGAAGCTTTCGCATTAGATTCCGTCAAGTTGTTGTTTTGGGCTCATTTAAATCTTAATTTAAGCTTGAATAAACTATCGACAAATAACACCAGAAGGAGTATAATTTAATAGCTAAAAAATTGCTTTGGAGTTAAAATAATATTTAATGAAAAAGAGAAAAATAATGAATTTTGTTAGAGAAAGTAGAGAAAAATGGTGGTGTGTATGGAGCTATTTCTTTAGAGCTAACAAAGAAGATAACAATGGTATAGTTTGTTAGCTACATGTGGGAACCACCGTTAAAAATAACACCTTCTTTTGACATCTTTGTTAGATTTAGGGTGAAAGACTAAA